CCCTCCCATGCACTCGCTGCACCACCCGCTGCCCCCTTGCACCCGCTGCATCCACTGCAGTCGCTTGTTTGCTGCTCGTTGATGCCTCTGTTATTGCGGTGTTGACTATTCCCTTGACATTTTAGGCCTAGAACTGATGAGACGAAGAGTGTATATCTCACCTTGTTGAGATATTTCACTTCTATTCTTGTTTCCTTCGAGAAACGGGAATATATAGATTGACTTGAGCCTTTGTGCTAACAAAAGCCAAGGCTCTCTCCCTCAAGTTATATCGCATTCGCGGCATGAGGGCGTGACTATCTACTACTCTGCTTCTTATATTTTTCAGCTTTGATATATGTCTGGCAGAAATATCATCATCCAGCTACTGATCTGCTCTTAATTTATGTTTCAAGAACAGATTTCTACTACTGCACTGTCTATTTGACTACTATCTATTGCACAAAATGACTACTACTCCGATGTCGGAAATCTCCTCCTTTACTACTCCTTCTGTTGTTGCTAGTGAGACCTCTGCGCCCAAGGTAGTCTTGGGGACTACAATTAAATTGAATGATACAAACTATCTGCTCTGGGCACAAGCTTTCTGCATCTTCATTGGAGCTTAGTGCAAACTCGCACATCTTCTGGCATCTCCACCACCCACCTCAGATCCCACATACAATTCCTGGCTCTCATCTGATTATTGTGTTATGACTTGGTTTCTCAACAGTATGAAAACACAAATCAGTAGTAGTGTTATGTTTTTAACCACTGCGAAAGACATGTGGGATAGCCTGAAGATTATGTATGGGAATGAGAAGAATGTTTCCTGTGTATTTGAGATTTATGAGCGACTGTTTGCGCTCAAACATGGAGATAGGTCAGCTCTGGAGTTCTTTGGTGAGTTGAAGGGACTGATAGATGAACTAGAGATGCATCAGCCTGTAGTAGCTGATGCAGCAACGCTGGGGTATTGCCGCGATCTGGTAGTGTCCAAGTTTCTTTTTAGATTGCACCCTATCTTACAGTCCCAGGTGAGGGGACAGATATTGGGTGGCGATACCATTCCTTCACTAACTGTTATATTCTCCAGAGTCATACATGTCTCTACTGGTGTTACTTCTGATACTACTGTACCATCTCCACCTACAGTGGATCAGCCTGTCATGTTCTCTAGTGGAGGCAGAGGTCGCGGTCGTGGTCATGGCCGTGATTCGGGGGGAGGATGTGGCTCCTTTGGTGGGAGGCAAGGTGAATTTGATAAGGGCTCACGTCAGTATGGTCACTGTGGGAGAACCAATCATATTTCTGAGAAGTGCTGGGAGAAGTTTGATCGTCCTCAGTGGGCCCAGGTAGCTGATACCGAGTCGACTCACTCGTCTATTTCTGCTACTACTTCTGGTAGTCTAGCTGTTACTGTTCTTACTGTTCAAATTTCTTAGGCAGATTATGAGAGGTTACGTCAGCTAGAACTCTCTCAGAACATTCATTCTGCTATTCATGCATCCTTTTCAGGTATGAATGCTTACATAGCTTCTTCTCACAAACCCTGGGTACTAGATTCTGGAGCCTCATCCCATATGACAGATATAAAGGATCACTTTGTATCTTTACATCTTTCTGATAAGTTTCCCTCTATTCGCATTGCTGATGGTACTCTTTCTTCAGTTCATGGTGATGGAGTAGTTCATGCTACTTCATCTTTAAAACTAACCGATGTGTTATATGTTCCCAAATTTTATGTTAGCTTATTAGCCATTAGCAAGTTTACAAAACAAAATAACTGTAAAGTCACATTCTTTCCATCTTATTGTGTTTTTCAGGAACTGTAAAGTCACATTCTTTCCATCTTATTGTGTTTTTCAGGACCTAGCAACTGGGATGACGATTGGTTCGGGACATGAGAGAGGAGGTATGTCTAGCAACTGGGATGACGATTGGTTCGGGACATGAGAGAGGAGGTATGTACTATTTGGACGATAGTGTGCCAGAGACTGGTCTTGTTGCATCACAGCCTGACTCTACTTTATTATGACACTGGCGTCTGAGTCATCCTTCACTACAAAAACTTAGATCGGTAGTTTCTGTTCAGCCATCTATTTTCTCTTTAGGTTGTGAGTCGTGTGAACTGGGTAAGTACCATCGTGCTACTTTTCAGAGTCGAGTCGATAAACACAGTAGCTTTGCTTTTGAGTTGGTTCATTCAGATGTCTAGGGTCCTTATCGTGTTCCCTCTGTGCAAGGTTTTCGATATTTCATTATCTTTGTTGATTTTTCTCGCATGACGTGGCTTTATTTGTTAAAAAAGAGGTCAGAGGTCTCGCACGTTATTGAACTCTTTTATAATGAAATAAAAACCTAGTTCTCTACTTCTGTTCATATTCTTCGTACTGATAATTCTTTGGAATATATGAAAAGTGACGTTTCAAAATTTTGTGCTCTTAATGGCATTATTCATCAGACTTCTTGCTCTCACACTTCACAACAAAATGAAGTTGCTGAGAGGAAGCATAAACAAATTCTAGATGTTGCTAGAACACTGATGATACATATGAATATTCTAAAGTATTTGTGGTCTGATGTTGTTCTCACTGTCAGTTATTTGATTAATTGCATGCCTTCCTCTGTCCTTGATGGTTTAATACCATTCAATTGTCTTTATCCTGATAAAAAACAATTTTCTGTGATTCCCCGTGTCTTTGGTTCTACGTGTTTTGTTCAGGATTTAACAGTTGGTTTGGATAAGTTGTCTTCTAGATCCATCAAATGTGTTTTTGTTGGATACTCTCGTACTCAAAAAGGGTATATGTGTTATCATCCGTCCACTAGGAAATATATTGTGTCTGCTGATATTACCTTTTATGAGTCTGTCCCATATTTTTCGTCTGGTTCCACTACTATTGGTTGTCCACAGGTACCACTTCCTTCTTCTGCTCCTACTACTATTCCATTACCTGCTCATGTAGCTCCTACACCGAAGCCTCTACTGACAAACTCTCGCCACCCCAAAGTACATGCCTCTGTCTCTGCTCCTACTGACTCTTCATCTCCAGTTGTCGGTCCATCTCATGTTGAGACTTCTATTCCTTCTGACTTGGATATCCCTATTACTCTTCGAAAAGGTAAACGGTCTTGCCCAAAATATCCTATCTCTCTTTTTGTCTCTTATGATCGTCTCAACCCATCTTTTCGTCAGTTTGCTTTGTCTTTGTCCGCTGTATCTATACTCAGGTCACATGAGGAAGCTATGTTAGTACCATCTTGGAAGCAGGCTATGGATGAGGAAATGAGTGCACTGCTTTCTAGAGGGACTCGGGATTTGGTCTCTCTTCCTACTAGAGTGATTGTGGTTGGTTGCAGATGTGTGTATACCTTGAAATATCGTCTCGATGGGTCTGTTGACCGATATAAAGCTCTTCTGGTTGCTAAAGGTTATACCCAGACATATGGCGTCGACTATTTTGAAACATTTTCTC